CAGTGGTGGTGAACCTATGGCACGGGTGCCAGAAGTGGTACTCGGAGCCCTCTCTGTGGGCACGCCTGCCATCGCCCCAGCCAGGCCCAGACCATCATTAAAGTGTCGAATTCTCTGCCAAATAATTTTAAGTAAATGAAAGCATTTGGGATTGCTTTCCTTCCTTTGTTTGGATCATCTTAAGTTAATGTAAGAGTTGTTTTTTCTAAAGTAAAACCTCAGTATTCAGGTTAAATTGCCATGTTGGCACTTTGCGATCAATAAGTGGGTTTTGGGTCGCAGTTTGGGCACTCGGTCTCTAAAAGGTTCGCCATCACTGCCCTATATGGTCAGGGACCTATCTACCTATATAAGGGACCGCCTTTCCCCACATGTTCCCCAGAGAGCACTAAGATCGGGGTCCCAAAACCATCTGGCCCTCCCAGGGCTTAGCGGTGACGAGGGCCAGGGCCTTCTCTGTGGCGGCCCCTCACTGGTGGAATGATCTCCCGGACGACATCAGAGCCCCACGGGACCTTTTACAGTTCCGCAGGGCCTGTAAAACGGAGCTCTTCCACCAGGCCTTTGATTAGGGGCTGTCTTTTAACATCGAGACCCTGGCCCCCTAACATTAGCACCGACCTAATACCTAATAACCTGGCAAGAACTCAGACTGTGGTGGTAGTTTGACCATCTAGATGCTGAGGCAACGCCCCGCGTCATTTCTTTGTACTATGTTTGCTAGCACCTATTTGCACATGTTGTGGTTTTAACTCTATTATTGTTTTAATGTATCTTGCGGCTTTAATATATTTATGCATACTCTGTAAGCCGCCCTGAGCCTGCCTAGCAGGGAGGGCGGGATACAAAATAAATAAATAAATAAAAGTAAAGGTGCCACTTTTTTTGGAAAAAGAGGTGCCGGAACTCTCAAGAGGGAAATGACGTTTTCAGTGTGTATACTGAAAGCTCACGAACTTTTGAACATTGTTGAAAGAATTTTGCTGAAGAGGTTCTGGAACGCCGTTCCGGCGCATTCCCCCAGAAAAAAAGGCCTGCGTCTGGACTCAAACTTTGCCCTGTAATAGTGAATCAGTCCTCAGCCTGGGCCAATTCAGATTCTCCGGCACCTCTGAGGACCCAGCTTTACTACTGACCCGTATCTTTAAACCAGCTTAACTGCCATGGCTTCCTTCTAAAGCATCCTGGGAATTGTAGTTTTGGAGGGATGTTGCTCTCAGACCCGGTCTGATGGTTCCAGGTGGTCAGCCGTGTTGGTCTGAAGCAGTAGAACCAATTCAGAGTCCAGTCAGGCACCTTTAAGACCAACAAAGGTTTATTCGAGGTATGAGCTTTCGTGTGCTTGCACACTTTTTCAAATACACTGGAAAGGAAGCTAGAGTTCAAACGTAGAGACAGATGCTGAACAACACATTAACATGTAACATGATGCAGGAGCTTTAAGATACGCAAAGTCAAAACTAAATAACAAGCTAAAGTTATAAGGTCAAGAGTTGTGATTTAATTAAGGGGAGGAAAGGACAGCAAAGTGATAAATATGTCAAAATAGGGGATAAATGTGTAAAGGTAGCTTTTCTAATTGTGGGAAGTAAACTGAAAATCACCATTCGTCTCCTCTCAGGTGTGGAGGTGACAGTATTTTTTTTCTGTCCTTTTTGTGATTGATGCAGTGGTATGTCGGGAAACATTCCAATATTCCCTGCATTACATTCAGTATTTTAATATAAAGGTAAAGGTTCCCTTGCTCGAAAGCCAGTCGAATCCGACTCTAGGGTTGCGGTGCTCATCTCCGTTTCAAAGCCGAAGAGCCAGCGCTGTCCGAAGACATTTCCGTGGTCATGTGGCCGGCATGACTAAACACCAAGGCGCACGGAACGCTTTTCCCTTCCCACCGAAGTGGTCCCTATTTATCTACTTGCAATTTCTTGCTTTCAAACTGCTAGGTTGGCAGGAGCTGGAACGAGAGACGGGAGCTCACTCCGTCATGCAGCACACTCGGGTCTCGAACTGCTGTCTCGAACTGCTGACCCACCGCCCTTCCACAGCCTACAGTTCAGCATCTTAACCACTTGAGCCACCGCAGCTGAAAAGGAAATACACTAAAATACAGAGGACGTACAGTCCTTCTTGTTGAGACTGTATATATGAATAATGAATGAGTTAGCAAACGTAATGAGATAAGAAACCACTCTCCCTGTTGAGTCCTGGGGAGGCTTTCGTTCCAAGTGTCGTAATGACTTGTAATTCCGCAATCTCCCTTTCCATTCTGTTCCTGAAGTTCCTTTGTAATAAAGCAACTACTTTGAGGTCGTTCGTTGGATGTCCAGGAAGCCTGAAGTGTTCCCCTGCAGGTTTCCCAGTCTTGTGATTCCTGATGTCAGAGCCAGACTTTTCTGGCTTCCCCGGGCAGGAGGAGGCACTGTGGAGCCAGCGGTCGTTGTCGCCGTCCTGCAGTTCTCGAACCAAAACGCGTCTTCTGCTTCTTTGCCGCCGCGCAGCTCGTTCCCACGCAGTTGCACCTGCGCTTCACCTCCTGCGTTTCTCTCTCCCCTGCAGGTCAATGGGATCAACGTGGAGGGCATGAAGCATTCCGAGGTTGTGGCCCACATCAAATCCAAGGAGGGCGAAGCCAAGTTACTGGTGGTGGACCCCGAGACAGACGACCACTTCAAGAAACTGGGCATTGTTCCTACCGAGGAGCACGCCAGAGGTGAGGCCGTCCTTCCCAAGAGGAGCAGAAAAGGCAGAAGAAGCCATGCGCGTTTTGCACGTCCTCCATGCCCAGTAGCCATGCGCTAGGTCTTCCCCACCCCCACATCCAGGGGTCATTTCGTAGAAAAAGAGGTGCATAACTCATTAGCATGACTTATTTGCATGTGCCGCACCCCCTGACATCACCGGAAGTGTGTCAGAAGGCAACACCCACCACTCAGGCTCCACTGGACTGTTTTGGATTGCTAGCTATTGGGGACGGGGACGTGCAGATCTCTCCTTGCAGAGGAGGGAGAGCTTGTAGCTGAATAAACCTTGGTCTTAAAGGTGCCACTGGACTGTTTTGGGCTGGGGGGCGGGCTCTGCAGCTTACCTGGCTGCTTCTTGCTCTGACTGAGGGCTGCTGGAAGCAGGGGGCGGGGCTTGTTGCATGTGCCCACCCCTTGGGCTCCTTACTGCCAGAGCTCCGCTCCTGTGCGTTCCTGCAGGAAATGACCCCTGCCCACATCTGTTCTCCCACACATGAGATGCGGTAAAATGTTAGAAATGTTGGCTGTGGGTTATCCCTTCCGAAAGCGTCTGCTGGTGTTTATCAGGCTTTAGCCCCAAGACATATTTTTAACGCTAGAATTCAGCCCCGGGATCCGTTGGTAGTGGACACCCTCCTGCTGCTATATCTGCCTGCAGTTTTCTCAGGAAGTTAGAGCCAGTTTGGTGTAGTGGTAAAGAGCGTGGACTCTGATCTGGGAGAACCGGGTTTGATTCCCCGCTTCTCCTCCACACGCAGCTGCTGGTGTGACCTTGGGTCAGTTGCAAGTTCTTTCAGAGCTGTTCTCTCAAGAGCCCCCCCTCGAAACAGCCCCTCCCTCCCCTCCCTCTTCCCCCTCCTCCCTGCCAGCCTCTCTCTGTTCAGTGTCTCTCCTGGAACTCTCAAGAACAGCTCTCGAAAGAGCTCTCTCAGCCCCACCGACCTCACAAGATGTCTGTTGTGGGGAGGGGAAGAGAAAGGAGATTGTAAGCCACTCCGAGATTCCTTCGGGTAGTCAAGGGCAGGGTATAAATCCAATCTCTTCTTGTTCTCTCTTATCCAAAATGCTGGGTTTCGATTTATGATCATCAGTATCAATCAATATTAATGGTCAGCCAGTGGAGTGAAGGAAGTGAGCGGTGACTCCAAAACCTCCTCCCCTCCCACAAATTTTGTCCGTCTTTAAGGTGCTCCTGGACTGTGGCTCTTTTCTACCACTACAGATAAACTAACACGGTGACCCATCGTAATGACAATCTAGTTGCAGCGTTTTGAACTAACTGGAGTCTCCAGATTGACTTTGAGAGGGGACCAACGTAGAATGTGTTACAGTAGTCTAGCCTCCGTGTTACCACGTTTTCACGTCTGGAGGCCGTTTGGTGGAGTGGTTAAGTGCGCGGACTCTAATCTGGGAGAACTGGGTTTGATTCCCCACGCCTCCACTTGCAGCTGCTGGATGACCTTGGGCAAGCCATAGTTCTGTCAGAGCTGTTCTCTCAAGGACAGTTCTTGAGAGAGCTTTCTCACACCCACCTACCTTCCAGGGTGTCTGTTGGGGGGAAGGGAAGGGAAAGGAGTTTGTAAGCCGCTCTGAGACTCCGAGTCTCAGTATAAATCCTCCTCCTCCTCCTTCCCTCTTCCAATCAGCCCTGTTGAACCGCTTGCCTTTCATGTGAAGGCTTGACCAGAGAGGAGAGCTGCTCTGAGCATGTACAGAGTTCCTTCCCTGTGCCACTGAATAACTGCAACCGGCATCCACACATAGGGGATTAAGGGGTGGGCACGGGTGTTTAACAAACAAGGCATTGGCTTGGCCGGTCTCTTGACATCCAGGGGCTCAGCCACAAGCGAAGGGCGGTCATTTCCTGAGACAGGAATAATTAGTCCTGCTAATTGGCATTTTTACCCACGGGTCCTCGCTGCTGCGCGCCGGCAACAGAAGGCCCCCACTGGGCATTGTTGGGGGGCAGATCACCGCGTTCCACTAACCCCCCCCAGCCCCCTTTTCTCCTCGGCTGGGCTGAATGAAGAGCTGTGTCTCTCTAACCCAGCTGTTTCTTATCTAAGCAGCGTTCTCGTCTCTCCAGCGCTGCATTGTCTTTTCCTGGCCTTCAGCAGAGAGAAGAATCGACTTGGAACAATTCAGAGATGGCGGGGGGGGGGCTGGTGTCAGATGCTCCCGAGCTCACCAGAGATAGGAGCCAGAGATACTTTTCTTCTTGGCAGGGGGCATAATCAACCCCCTTGTTCTCCTCTCGAGGAGAGGCCGGCCAGCGCGGCAAAAGCGGGCCCGAACAACCAGGCGTCTCTTTGAGGACCGGGGTCTGGTTTGGAAAAGGCAAACGGCAGGGCCGAAGTCTGCTTTCTTGGTCCCTCCTTTATTATTATTATTACTAGAAATAATGCCCGTTGCAGAAATAAATACAACGGGATCTAGAAAGAGTCTGCTTTCTTGGTCCCTCCTTTATTATTATTATCAATTTTTTTTAGGGGGGTCTGCTTGAGAGTTCTGCAGACTTTGTGCCAGAGCAAAAAGGGGACGGGGTGACAAAACCCCTCCAGAGTCAGGATTGCAGACTGTAGTTCCGCAGGCTTTTTCCATAGGTTTCCTTCTGATTAGAAAGCCAGTGTGAGGAATGCGGTTAAAGTGCTGGGGTCAGATTGGGGGGAGACCCGGGCTCGAACCCGCATGCTGCAAATGACCCGGGGCCCGCCGCTTTCTCCTCAACCTCGCCTACCTCACAGGGCTGTTGTAAAGATGAAACGGGGAGTGGGAAATCACACATATGCTGCTCCGATCTTCTCAGAGGAGGGTCGGAGGGGAAGGGAAGGTACAGATAGGTGGTTCACAAAAAGGTACGCGTATGAACTTTTGTTCAGGTGAATGACCCAGTTCCCAAATTTGCTTTTGATTTGGTTACTGTCGGGGATATGGGAGATTGGAGGAGGTATTGTGGCGGTTTTGCATATAGGATATTTGAAGATCTGTCTCCAAATTCCCACCCCGGCAGGCTATGGCTTGTGCTGGCTTGCAGGCTGGGGTATTCCCCAGGGCAAGTGGGCTATAAATAGTGTAAATAAATACCACAGTGGCTGTGATTTTAGGGGAAGGTGGGCTCCCCCCCCGGTGGAAACCCTCCATTTTGTACCATTTTGCCCAGGGTTGGCATAACCCGGAGCTGACCCTGGCTAAGGCCATTGGTGTAGTGGTTAAGAGCGCCGGACTCTAATCTCAGAGAACCGGGCTTGATTCCCCACTCCTCCTCCACATGCAGCTGCTGGTGTGACCTTGGGTCAGTCACAAGTTCTCTCAGAGCTGTTCTCTCAAGGGCAGTCCTCAAAAGAGCTCTCTCAGCCCCACCTTCCTGAGAGGGTGTCTGTTGTGGGGAGGGGAAGGGGAAGGATTTGAGACTCCTAGTGAAGGGTGGGGTATAAATCCTGTTGTTGTTGTTGTTGTTATTGATGGACAGCTAATTCTTTGCAGCTTTAATTTCGTGCACTGGGCTGACTGGATTTGTGTAGAATCGTGTTCTGCATTCGAAGGCAAAACGAGCATTTCAAATATGGACATTCTATGTGGATGGAGTGATGGCCACAGGAATAAATAGCTTTAGGGGGATTAGATAGATTCATGGAGGAGAGGTCTAGCAGTGGCCACTAACCATAGTGGCTGAAGGGAACCTCTACATTCAGAGTCACTAAGCCACTGAATCACAGAGCCAGAAGGCAACATCTGGGGAAGGCCTCGGCCTCTCTGCCCCGGGGCTCTGCAACTTACCTGGCTGCTTCTTGCTCTGACTGAGGGCTGCTGGGAGCAGGGGGTGGGGCTTGTTGCATGGGCCTGCCCCCTGGGCTCTTTACTGCCAGAGCTCCGTTCCTGTGCACTCCTGCAGGAAATGACCCCTGCATGGAGGAGAGGTCTAGCAGTGGCTACTAACCATAGTGGCTGAAGAGAACCTCTACATTCAGAGGCACTAACCCCCAGAATCACAGAGCCAGAAGGCAACATCTGGGGAAGGCCTTGGCCTCTCTTCCCCGTTGTTGGCCCTCCAGAGGAACTGGCTGGCCCCTGTGTGAGACGGGAGGCTGGACTAGATAGACATTCATTGGTCTGATCCAACAGGGCTCTTCTGATGGTCTTATCAAGCTGTCTCTCTGCTTTGTCTTCAGGTGGAGTTCCTCAGCCTATGACCAATGGGTCGGCACAAACACAGGTAAGAGATCAACTAGGGGTGTGCAAAAAAATAAAATAAATTCGGCCCATTTGGATTTGGCCGAATTGGGCAGAATCAATTTCGGCTGGCAGTAAGACTCCCGCATGTCAGTTTCGTCAGTAGGAGCCTCCAGAGTCTTTCTGCCAGCCGAATGTCAATTTCAGCCCCATTATATCCTATGGGCCATTGAAGTCAATGATGAAAACATAGGGTATATTCTGGGGGCTGGAGGGGAGGGGGCTTGAGGGAGAGACTCTAAACTCGCAGGGTAGTTGCTGGAGCCTCTCCCCAAGATACCAACCAAGTTTCAAGAGCATTGGACCAGGGGGTCCAATTCTACGGGCCCTCAAACAGGTTGCCCCTATCCCCTCCATTGTTCTCTATGGTGCGGGGAAAAGTTACTTTTTAATGAACCGAATGCACATCCCTAAGAGCAACCAACCCACCCCTTTTTGGAGGTATGATGGAACTTAGGAGAATTCATCCTGATGTATGTGAATTCAGAATTTTTCAAGAAAGAAGGAGGGAGTCCCTGACCATGGGGAACCCTGCCTTTCAGCCGGCAGTGCCCAGACGCTTTGTGGCCTGTCTTTGGTAGGGGAACGCCACAACCGAGGACTGGCCAACCTCTACCTGTTTTCCCCCTCGCCCCTCAGCTGTGCACCTCCCTCCCTGTTTAGGCCCCCGCCCCACGGGGTTCGCAAAAACCTCGAAAGGTTCTTCACGGTCTGGCCCGACGGCGCCTTTATCCGCCCAGTAATAAACGTGTTTCCATTCCTCACAGCTGAACGGTGGATCCGTGTCTTCGTCCCACAGCGATTGCCAAAGTCCTGAGAAAGAATCGGAGGTAAAAGAAATGGCGTTTTCTTATTCCGCCTCGAAGGTCCCTGGCCTTCCACCCCGCGATCGTCTTCATTCTCTTGGCTGTGCAAATCTGGCCTTCTTCCCTGCTTCCTCCTTCTTCAAGCCATGTACCTTCTTCTCTGGCCTTCTTCCCTGCTTCCTCCTTCTTCAAGCCATGTACCTTCTTCTCTGGCCTTCTTCCCTGCTTCCTCCTTCTTCAAGCCATGTACCTTCTTCTCTGGCCTTCTTCCCTGCTTCCTCCTTCTTCAAGCCATGTACCTTCTTCTCTGGCCTTCTTCCCTGCTTCCTCCTTCTTCAAGCCATGTACCTTCTTCTCTGGCCTTCTTCCCTGCTTCCTCCTTCTTCAAGCCATGTACCTTCTTCTCTGGCCTTCTTCCCTGCTTCCTCCTTCTTCAAGCCATGTACCTTCTTCTCTGGCCTTCTTCCCTGCTTCCTCCTTCTTCAAGCCATGTACCTTCTTCTCTGGCCTTCTTCCCTGCTTCCTCCTTCTTCAAGCCATGTACCTTCTTCTCTTGAGCGCTTACCTCTCTGCAGAGACAATGGTGTTCCACTCTTTGCTGGCCTCCTGTTTGGCTGCCTCTCTCTCACTTTCCCCGGGCACTTCTAGAATCACTTCTCTTTCTGTTCCTTCCTGAGCTCCTGGTCGCTCCCCCGCACCTCTTTTTCACGCTTCTAGTCTACCTCTCTGCAACCTGTATTCTCCCGTCGCCCGCCAATTAACGCGGCATTGTCATCGAATGCACCCCGAGCTGCAAGCAGAGAATTAGGATGTACAGATCTCAGACGTGCAGTCGACGAGAGCTTTGTGCCCGATGGATTTTGGCTGACTCCAGTTGGGTGTATTAGTTAGGAGCAATGCTTCCTCTAAGCTGTGGAGTCTTGTGAGCAAAAATGCTACTTTGTGAGCTCCTGGCATTAAAGTTGTGAGCGAGCAATTTGGCTACTGCAGAAATTAGTTTGCTCTGCTCTGGAGCCCTCCTTCCTGAGCTGAGACGAAAATGTGTGAGCCGGAGGCTAAAAAACTGTGAGCTAGCTCACACTAACTCAGCTTAGAGGGAACACTGGTTAGACGCACAGACTTTAACCTGGAAGAACCGGGTTTGATCCCCCAGTCATCCACATGAAGCTGCTGGCGTGACCTTGGGTCAGTCACAAGTCCTCTCAGAGCTGTTCTCTCAAGAGCAGTCCTCAAAAGAGCTCTCTCAGCCCCACCGGCCTCACAGGGTGTCGGTTGTGGGGAGGGGAAGGGAAAGGGGAATTGCAAGCCGCTCTGAGACTCCTTTGGGTAGCGAAGGGCGGAGTATAAATCCAATCTCTTCTTCTTCTTTTCCCTGTCTCTCTCTTCTGAATGTTAGGCCGGATTTCTGCTTGCTCTCTGCCCTCTTTTGAAAGGGGAGAAATCCCGGATTTTGCACTCCGGCCAGAGAGAGGAATATAAAGCAGCGCCCCCTCTGCTGGCGGCCGGACGCCATCGCAAGCAAGAGGAAAAAGACTTCCTCGAAACCCCCCATTTGCCCCCCAAATGTTTTTGACTGCCCACCATATTTATAGATCGCCCCGGGGGCGCACACGTTCCCCATGAAGAATCATTGTTGTCGCCTTTCACAGGCTGAGGCTCCGCTGGAAGTATTTTGGGTGCATCATGTTTAACTTTTGGACACTCTCTTCTCTTTTCAGACCCCTCTGTCCCCCCCCCCCCCATCCCCATCTTTGTGCTTACTCCCCCCTCCTGATCTGTTCTGGAAGACCTCCCCCCGCCCGATTCTTCTGTACCTTATGTAGAACG